GTGGTGCAATCTGGTCCTTGTGTTCGATACCCGTTTACTACTTCTGACTTGTGCACTTGCAGAATCAGGGATGGGAAAGGGGAAGACCTGATCCCGCGATCACTTTCGCCCTTCCTTGGTGATGGGGATCGTCGCGGCGAGGTAGATTGGCTCCTTGGAGGGACGGATTTGTCCCTGTCTTCAGTGGGTAGCGACTTGTCTATCGTTGGTGGCGGTAGATCGTCGCTTAAGTGTCCTTCTGAGCGGGATGGGCTCCCGGTAGGGGTGTTCTCTTTCGAGTTCACCATGATTGCGTTTTCGCAAAAATCTAGATACCTTCGAGATGAATAGCGAGAAGCGTTTCCAGCCCCACGGTGGGCGCCAATTGTTAGATCTGAGATAGCATTCGTTAAGACGGGTTATCGAAGAATATCAGGAAGATTACAAAGATGTTATCTCGCCGACAAGCTTGGCGAGATGAACTGTGATGAACAATAGGAAAACCGAAAAGAAAGTAAAGTGGGTGCCAAAGCCTAGTAATTCTAGATGATCTCGGATGCCTTTTCACGAATGGGGGGTCTTCCATATATAGTGTTGATAGGTCGGCTGATTGGTGAATATTTTCCCTCCGGTGAGATGGAAAACTTCCTCTTTTGCGATATAGAAAACTTCCTCTTGTTCTCGATTTCCTTCCATTCTTCAAGTCGGCATGAGGGTTTGTTAACATTTCCTCATGGATTGTGCCTTTCTCCTCAAGTCTTGTCTTTTTGTGGCTTAAAGACGGATTGGCCTTTATGATTTTACTAATGATGACGGGCTCAGGGAAATGTGCTAATTTCTCCTCTAACATTCTTGACGCTGAAACTCCAGGTCAATCATTTAATTCACTCTCTTGTTCTGTTACAGTTATGTTGCTAAAGCAAGTTTTAATTACTAGTTAAAAATATTAAATTGCGTATCATATCATTTTTGGTAACTTTTGATCTTGGCTGATTTTTAAGTTTTTGTTTTCGTTTTGATTTGACCTATTTAGTGTACAAAAGAGTGAAATTAATCACATAAACAGATTATAAGATTTTGGTTTGTTTTGGATCGCTTTGTTGGTTCAGTTTGATTGGCTCGTTTCTATCTGCAAGCTGTGTACTCTGTTCTAGAAATGTATACAGATATGTTTTGATCGAAATACATCTTTAAAACCATAACTTATATGAAATGGAGGGAGTATAATGTTTTTAATGTGTGTTAATTATCTAGCTCCTACGTTAATGTGAGATTAACATTATGGGAGAAAATGAGAACAGGTTTAGTGGTGTACTTGGGAGATGTAATAACGGCAAACAACTTAGCAACTGATGTACTTGCATTTTACATAGTTTTAGCACATCTTTTATGCATCTTTTGCATAGTTTTAGCATCCATTGCATCATATCTTGTTCCTTTTCTCTTCTTATGCATTCATTAGTTTTAGGTTGCATTTGCATACATGTACATGTTTGGTCCTTTGAAATAGGTCTTTTGGAGCATTCTGGAGCATATGGGACGTGAGGAGCATGGAGGGACTTGGTGCAAGGACGCAGCTCAACTAGATAAGCAAAGGAAGAAGAAGGAAGCCACCTTGAAGACCAGCTCGACCACCTACTCGACCATCCGGTCGAGTTCCTAAACTCGACCGGCCAAGTTCAACTCGATCGAGCTGAGAAGTCAAAGTCAAACCCGAAAAATGTTGCTTCCGCCTTGACTTTCCTTTGACCCTAAACCTAAATCCTCTTGTATTTAAAGGCTAAAAGCCACGAAAAAACGACCAAGTTTTAGATTACTTTAGTTTTAGCTTTTCTTTATTTTATTGTCTTTATTTTTGAGCAACTCTTAATCCAATCTTTGTGTTCTTGAAGCTCTTGCTTCTTGAATCTTAGATCTTGGATTATTGGCTTTGTATTTGCACTTTGCTATTTCAATAAAAGTTGTTCATTTTCATCCCCTCTTTCATTTGATGTTTATTTCAATGCATTTTCTTGTGTTTACATTCATGTGTAGTGAGTAGTTCCCCATTAGGGTTTGAGATGGTATAGATTAGGGGATTCATATGCTTAATCCTTCTTGCTTATGGTCTTAATCTAGATTCTCTCTCTTTTGGATAAATCTTAAGGCTACATGACCACTACCCCTGGCTTGTATGTCATTAGGCGATTCTCCACATGGAAGTGATGGAAATCACTGGAAAATATCCACTAAGAGCTCCAACAACCCTTGCTCTCGAAATGAAGTTCATAGGGGTTGGATGGATTAGTTTGGGCAATGATCCTATGCCTCCAAGGTTTGATTCTCACTGGCTAACCCCCTGTTTCTGAGATCATTCCTTGGTTGATAGCTTCCACCTTGGGAAAGGGTTAGCTAGGCATTAAGAAGCCCAATATCAAGAGAAACCTTGGTACAAGGAGTTTTAAGAGAAAGATCGATTAAGTATAGCTTCCCCTGGTTGAAAAACCCTGTCTTGAACCCTAATTCTCGCATTAGCTTGTTACAGTCACTGCCTTTATTGCTTTTTACTTCAACTCGACCCTAAACTTGATCGAGCTCGGTTACCCTGTTCCCACTCGACTCGAGTCCTTGGTCGTGCTATTGCTTTACTGCTTTTATTTCTTTTACTGCATTGCATTTCATTTTAGTAGATTGTTAGTGTTACCACCATATCATTTACTGCTTGCTTGACTTCCTGGTTATTTCATATTCTCATAGAGTGACAACTTCCCCCATTATGGATTGACTATATAGGTTAAAGGGAATTGTTGATTGTGATTGTGTCTGCATCTCGCCACCTCATCTTATATACCACTGTTGCATTCCACCACATCTCATTTCATATCTTTCACACACACACAAAATCCTATCATCAATTTGGCGCCATTGCCATTTTGGGTTGATTTTTGTTGCATTTGAGTTTCAAATATACTTGGACGATCAAGCTATACCACCCTTGTTCTTTGTACTGCTGGGTTTTTGTCTCTTTTTGCAGGTGTATGCGAACTCGATCGAGTCAGTCTACAGAAGACTTGGTCGAGCTAGACTCCATCACGGGTAAAAGTAGAGTTCAGAGGACACAGAAGGTATAGGAGGAACCTGAGGTGCTTGTTGCTGATACAATGGAAGTACCATAAGGGAATGGAAACCCTTTGGGCAATTGATGTACTTGCATTTTACATAGTTTTAGTACATCTTTTATGCATCTTTTGCATAGTTTTAGCATCCATTAGCATCATATCTTGTTCCTTTTCTCTTCTTATGCATTCATAGTAGTTTTAGGTTGCATTTGCATACATATGCATGTTTGGTCCTTTGAAATAGGTCTTTTGGAGCATTTGGAGCATATGGGACGTAGGAGCAAGGAAGGACTTGGTGCATGGACGCAGCTCAACTGGATACGCAAAGGAAGAAGGAGGAAGCCATCTTGAAGACCAGCTCGACCACCTACTCGACCATCCGGTCGAGTTCCTCAACTCGACCGGCCAAGCTTCAACTCGATCGAGCTGGAAGTCAAAGTCAAACCCGAAAAATGTTGCTTCCCCCTTGACTTTCCTTTGACCCTAAACCTAAATCCTCTTGTATTTAAAGGCTAAAAGCCACGAAAAAACACCAAGCTTTAGATTATTTTGTTTTAGCTTTTCTTTAATTTTATTGTCTTTACTTTTTAGCAACTCTAATCCTAATCTTTGTGTTCTTGAAGCTCTTGCTTCTTGAATCCTAGATCCTGGATTATTCTTTGTATTTGCACTTGCTTATTTCAATAAAAGTTGTTTATTTTCATCTCCTCTTTCATTTGATGTTTATTTTAATGCATTTGCTTGTGTTTACATTCATGTGTAGTGAGTAGTTCCCATTAGGGTTTGAGATGGGATAGATTAGGGGTTTCATATGCTTAATCCTTCTTGCTTATGGTCTTAATCTAGATTCTCTCTCTTTTGGATAAATCTTAAGGCTACATGACCACTACCCCTGGCTTGTATGTCATTAGGCGATTCTCCACATGGAAGTGATGGAAATCGCTGGAAAATATCCACTAAGAGCTCCAAAACTCTTGCTCTCGAAATGGAGTTCATAGGGGTTGGATGGATTAGTTTGGGCAATGATCCTATGGCCTCCAAGGTTTGATTCTCACTGGCTAACCCCCTGTTTCTGAGATCATTCCTTGGTTGATAGCTTCACCTTGGGAAAGGGTTAGCTAGGCATTGAGAAGCCCAATATCAAGAGAACCTTGATACAAGGAGTTTTAAGAGCAAGATGATTAAGTATATCTTCCCCTGTTGAAAAACCCTGTCTTGAACCCTAATTCTCGCATTAGCTTGTTAAAGTCGCTGCCTTTATTGCTTTTTACTTCAACTCGACCCTAAACTCGATCGAGCTCGGTTACTCTGTTCCCACTCGACTCGAGTCCTTGGTCGAGCTGTTGCTTTACTGCTTTTATTTACTTTTATGCATTGCATTTCATTTTAGTAGTTGTTAGTGTTACCACCATATCATTTACTGCTTGCTTGACTTCCTTGGTTATTTCATATTCTCATAGAGTGACAACTTCCCATTTTGGATTGATACCCTTTATGCTATAATGACTATATGGTTAAAGGGAATTGTTGATTGTGATTGTGTTGCATCTACCACCTCATCTTATATACCACTGTTGCATTCCACCACATCTCATTTCATATCTTTCACACACACACAAAATCCTATCATCAATTTGGCGCCGTTGCCATTTTGGGTTGATTTTTCTTGCATTTGAGTTTCAAATATACTTGGACGATCAAGCTATACCACCCATGTTCTTTGTACTGCTGGGCTTTTGTCTCTTTTTGCAGGCGTATGCGAACTCGATCGAGTCAGTTTACAAAAGACTTGGTCAAGCTAGACTCCAACACGGGTAAAAGGAGAGTTCAGAGGACACAGAAGGTACAGGAGGAACCTGAGGTGCTTGTTGCTGATACAATGGAAGTACCATAAGGGAATGGAGACCCTTTGGGAAATTGATGTACTTGCATTTTACATAGTTTTAGTACATCTTTTATGCATCTTTTGCATAGTTTAAGCATCCATTAGCATCATATTTTGTTCATTTTCTCTCTTTATGCATTCATGGTAGTTTTAGGCTGCATTTGCATACATATGCATGTTTGGTCCTTTGAAATAGGTCTTTTGGAGCATTTTGGAGCATATGGGACGTGAGGAGCAAGGAAGGACTTGGTGCATGGACGCAGCTCAACTAGACACGCAAAGGAAGAAGGAGGAAGCCACCTTGAAGACCAGCTCGACCACCTACTCGACCATCCGGTCAAGTTCCTCAACTCGACCAGCCAAGATCAACTCGATCGAGCTGAGAAGTCAAAGTCAAACCCGAAAAATGTTGCTTTTCCCTTGACTTTCCTTTGACCCTAAACCTAAATCCTCTTGTATTTAAAGGCTAAAAGCCACGAAAAAACGACCACGCTTTAGATTACTTTTGTTTTAGCTTTCTTTTAATTTATTGTCTTTTCTTTTTAGAACTCTTAATCCAATCTTTGTGTTCTTGAAGCTCTTGCTTCTTGAATCCTAGATCCTGGATTCTCTGTTTTGTATTTCCCTTTGCTATTTCATCTTTATCTCCTCTTTCATTTGATGTTTACTTCATTGCATTTGCTTGTGTTTACATTTATGTGTAGTGAGTAGTTTACCCATTAGGGTTTGAGATGGGATAGATTAGGGGTTTCATATGCTTAATCCTCTTGCTTATGGTCTTAATCTAAATCTCTCTCTTTTGGATAAATCTTAAGGCTACATGACCACTACCCCTGGCTTGTATGTCATTAGGCAATTCTCCACATGGAAGTGATGGAAATCGCTGGAAAATATCCACTAAGAGCTCCAACAACCTTGCTCTGAAATGGAGTTCATAGGGGTTGGATGGATTAGTTTGGGCAATGATCCTATGGCCTCCAAGGTTTGATTCTCACTGGCTAACCCCCTGTTTCTGAGATCATTCTTGGTTGATAGCTTCCACCTTGGGAAAGGGTTAGGCTAGGCATTGAGAAGCCCAATATCAAGAGAAACCTTGTACAAGGAGTTTTAAGAGCAAGATCGATTAAGTATAGCTTCCCCTGGTTGAAAAACCCTGTCTTGAACCCTAATTCTCGCATTAGCTTGTTAAAGTCGCTGCCTTTATTGCTTTTTACTTCAACTCGACCCTAAACTCGATCGAGCTCGGTTACCCTGTTCCCACTCGACTCGAGTCCTTGGTCGAGCTGTTGCTTTACTGCTTTTCTTTCTTTTAGTGCATTGCATTTCATTTAGGTTGTTAGTGTTACCACCATATCATTTACTGCTTGCTTGACTTCCTGGTTATTTCATATTCTCATAGAGTGACAACTTCCCCCATTATGGATTGATACCCTTTATGCTATAATGACTATATAGGTTAAAGGGAATTGTTGATTGTGATTGTGTCTGCATCTCGCCACCTCATCTTATATACCACTGTTGCATTCCACCACATCTCATTTCATATCTTTCACACACACACAAAATCATATCATCAATTTGGCGCCGTTGCCATTTTGGGTTGATTTTTGTTGCATTTGAGTTTCAAATATACTTGGACGATCAAGCTATACCACCCTTGTTCTTTGTACTGCTGGGTTTTTGTCTCTTTTTGCAGGTGTATGCGAACTCGATCGAGTCAGTCTACAGAAGACTTGGTCGAGCTAGACTCCAACACGGGTAAAAGGAGAGTTCAGAGGACACAAAAGGTACAGGAGGAACCTGAGGTGCTTGTTGCTGATACAATGGAAGTACCATAAGGGAATGGAAACCCTTTGGGCAATTGATGTACTTGCATTTTACATAGTTTTAGTACATCTTTTATGCATCTTTTGCATAGTTTTAGCATCCATTAGCATCATATCTTGTTCCTTTTTCTCTTTTATGCATTCATGTAGTTTTAGGTTGCATTTGCATACATATGCATGTTTGGTCCTTTGAAATAGGTCTTTTGGAGCATTTTGGAGCATATGGGACGTGAGGAGCAAGGAAGGACTTGGTGCATGGACGCAGCTCAACTGGACACGCAAAGGAAGAAGAGGAAGCCATCTTGAAGACCAGCTCGACCACCTACTCGACCATCCGGTCAAGTTCCTCAACTCGACCAGCCAAGATCAACTCGATCGAGCTGAGAAGTCAAAGTCAAACCCGAAAAATGTTGCTTTCCCCTTGACTTTCCTTTGACCCTAAACCTAAATCCTCTTGTATTTAAAGGCTAAAAGCCACGAAAAAACGACCAACTTTAGATTACTTTTGTTTAGCTTTCTTTTAATTTATATTCTTTTACTTTTTAGAACTCTAATCCAATCTTTGTGTTCTTGAAGCTCTTGCTTCTTGACTCCTAGATCCTGGATTATCTGTTTTGTATTTGCACTTTGCTATTTCATCTTTATCTCCTCTTTCATTTGATGTTTACTTCATTGCATTTGCTTGTGTTTACATTTATGTGTAGTGAGTAGTTTACCCATTAGGGTTTGAGATGGGATAGATTAGGGGTTTCATATGCTTAATCCTTCTTGCTTATGGTCTTAATCTAGACTCTCTCTCTTTTGGATAAATCTTAAGGCTACATGACCACTACCCCTGGCTTGTATGTCATTAGGCGATTCTCCACATGGAAGTGATGGAAATCGCTGGAAAATATCCACTAAGAGCTCCAACAACTCTTGCTCTGAAATGGAGTTCATAGGGGTTGGATGGATTAGTTTGGGCAATGATCCTATGGCCTCCAAGGTTTGATTCTCACTGGCTAACCCCCTGTTTCTGAGATCATTCCTTGGTTGATAGCTTTCACCTTGGGAAAGGGTTAGCTAGGCATTGAGAAGCCCAATATCAAGAGAACCTTGATACAAGGAGTTTTAAGAGCAGATCGATTAAATGTAGCTTCCCTGTTGAAAAACCCTGTCTTGAACCCTAATTCTCGCATTAGCTTGTTAAAGTTGCTGCCTTTAGTGCTTTTTACTTCAACTCGACCCTAAACTCGATCGAGCTCGGTCACTCTGTTCCCGCTCGACTCGAGTCCTTGGTCTAGTTGTTGCTTTACTGCTTTTCTTTCTTTTACTGCATTGCATTTCATTTTAGTAGGTTGTTAGTGTTACCCCCATATCATTTACTGTTTGCTTGACTTCCTGGTTATTTCATATTCTCATAGAGTGACAAATCTCACCATTTTGGATTGATACTCTTTATGCTTTAATGATTATATTGGTTAAAGGGAATTGTTGACAGTGATTGTGTTTGCATCTTACACCCTCGTCTTATATCCCACTGTTGCATTCCACCACATTTCATATGATATCTTTCACACCCACACACAAATCCTATCATCAGCAATGGACTCGGTCGAGCTAGGCAAACTCGACCGATTGGTCTAGGAGATGCTCCAAACCGCCATCAACAGAGACAAGGGATTGTTCCACCACCAGTGCAGAACCACAACTTTGAGATCAAGCTGGGAATGATCAACCTTGTTCAGAACAAGATGTTCCATGGATTGCCAAGTGAAGACCCCATTGACCACCTTGATGAGTTTGATAGGCTTTGCGATTTGACAAAGATCAATGGTGTCTCTGAAGATGCCATCAAGCTGAGACTCTTTCCTATGTCTCTAGCTGAAAAAAGCTCACCAATGGGAGAAGAGCTTGCCCCATGGCACAATCACCACTTGGGATGAATGCAAGAAGGCCTTTCTTGCTAAGTTTTTCTCCACCGGTCGCACAGCCAAGCTTAGGAGTGAGATATCGAGCTTCATACAGAGAAACAATGAGACATTTGCTGAGGCTTGGAGAGGTTCAAGGGCTACACAAGTCAGTGCCCACACCATGGATTCAACAATGAATCTCTATTCTCTACTCTTTATAGAGGATGCTTGGCAAGGTATAGAGAGATGTTGGACACAGCCAGCAATGGAAACTTCCTTAATCAGGATGTGGATGATGGCTGGTAGCTTGTGGAAAACATTGCAAACTCCAATGGAAGCTATGGAGAAGAGTATGATCGCACCAATCGGAGCTCGACCCACCACTCGATCGAGTCGGATGAGAAATTGAGAAAAGATGTTAAAGCATTGAATGAGAAGTTGGATAAGCTGATCTTAGCTCAGTCCACAATGAAGAAAGTCAACTTTGTGTCTGCTGAAGAGATGGAACCAGTCCAAGAAGGGGAGGATACACAATTTGCTGAAGTGTGCTACATGAGCAATGGGCAAGGAGGTTACAACAAAGGATACTATAATTACAAGTCCAACCCAGTCATGTCATACCGACAACACTGATGTTGCTAACCCTCAGGACCAGGTCTATCCTCAACAACAGCAAGCTCGATCGAGTCAAGCCCCACAACATGGGTATGGTCAAAAGAACAACTACCAAGGACCCCAAGGGACTTTTCCTGGTCAGCAAATGCACATACCACCTGGCTTTCCCCACCAACCACCCCAGCCTGCACCTACACCTGAGAATGAGCTCAAGGCATGTTGAAACAATTACTTCAAGGGCAAGCTGATGGTGTTGTGGATACAAGCAAGAAGCTAGCTGAAATCAACTCCAAGATTGAGAATCTCAACACAAGAGTGTACTCTCTGGAGAATCATGCTTCTTCTGCTGCTGCTGCTACAAAGCAAGGACAACTACCTGGTAAAGCCATTCAGAACCCCAAGGAACAGTGCAAGGTCATCTTCACTCAAGAAGGTCTTGATGAAGAGGACAATCAAGAAAGAGTCATGGAAGAGTTTTTTTACTGCTGCATGATGATGAGATTGTTGCTGCTGAGGCTCCTGGAGTCCAGATTGATCAACCAGAAGTGCATGCACCTATTGTGGCCCTTCACACTTCACCAGTTGAGCTCGCACAACAAGCTCGATCGGCAGCTCGATCGAGTCGAACTCTAGCTCGATCGAGTCCGACCTCATCTGTCCCAAAGCCGATCTTGCTTGATCCTTACCAACCGGTTGACCTTCCTCGTCTCGCCTGCTTAGTCAAGGGCACAAGGAAGTGATTCACAAGTTCAGAAGAGATCTCACTGAGATTGGAATTGAGTTGCCCCCTATGGAAAGCATGAGTCAGGCATTTGATCAAATGAAGATGGTTAAGGATGTTATGGCCAACAGTGATAGAGTTTCAGAGCTTCTGAAGGAGTCTACTCATCAAATCAACCTGCTCACTTCACCAAATTTCTTACCAAAGGTGAAGGATCAAGGGAAATTCACTCTCCCTTGCACACTTGGGCATCTTAAGCTTGACAATGCCTTGGTGGATTCTGGAGCAAGTGATGTGCGGCATCAGGTCTTCCCCTTTCCTATCCCTGATTCTGCAAGTGCACAGGTCAGAAGTAGTAAACGGGTATCGAACACAAGGACCAGATTGCACACTACAAGTTATGAGTTTGAGAACAAGCTAGGGCAAAAGTATAAGTTGGTTGAGTGCAGAGAAAGTAAAGCATGCAAGTAATAAAGTAAGGATTCAATAGGAGAGAAAGGCTAAGCAATAGGATAGTCTTGAGATAAGCAATTCAAGAAGCATGAAATCAATCAATTAGGGTTACCGCACTTAGGTGCTAATCTAGAACTTGAAACACTATGGTATGATCATTCCACTGTCGAGGCTCCGACCCCTTTGTTAATCTACCTAGTCGCTAAACTTTTGGTATGTCCCTAGGTGATTAAATCAAGCATTAGTTCGATCAAGATCAATTGTTCACAACCTACAAGTAGATCAACTGTCGCAGTCTAAAAGAGATTGCCCACCAAATACTAGTTCAGGCGAATGATACAGCACTGTCGAGGCTCAAATCAACCTAAAGGCATATGCTAATTGGCCAGATTAACAACAAGCATTAAGTATAAGCAAAGATGGAGATTATAAGTAAAACCCTAATTGTGATCAATCATCAAGCATACATGAATGCTATCCTTTGACTTCCTATCACTTAACAAGTAAACTACTCAGACATAGAGAAGGAAATCGAATTCATATTCATAAGAACAGAGATTCGAATCCTCTCTAGAAAGAGTAACAAGCAAGAACAAAGTAAAAGCAAGCAAAACTTTATTAAGATGTAAAATAGAATGTGGTCTCTCTCCTTCTTTTAGGGCTAAAAAGAAGTATTTATAATGCTCTAAGTATAAGAAGACGGCTAAACCTAATCTAGCTAGGTCGGCGCCGGCTTTGGGCTTGAATTGTGCGGATTGGGCTTCAAAAACGGCTTCGGGTCGACCGCGGCGTTCGGACGGTCGTGCGGGACGATCGGCCGGACAGTCGGGTCTTTGGCCGAGTCGGAACGGTCGGGCCGGATGTTATGACGATCGGCCGGCGTGGTCGGGCGGATAGGAATTGGCCGATGGAAATCTTCGGCCGGACGCGAGGCATAGTTTCCCGGTCGGACGAAGCGTTCGTGCGCGGTACGTGAGGTGAGTTGCGCGGCCGCGAGGCGTTACTCCCGGCTCGCGCGCTTTGGTCGTGCGCGGTTGTGGCGTGGCCGGTTGTGGCGTGGCCGACTGCGGGTTTTGATGCGGAGTCAGGTTTTACCAAACTCCTAGACCTCTGCAAGTGCACAGATCGCGGAAGTATGGGTATCGAACACAAGGACTGGCTATTGAGTACACTTTGAAACTATGGATTTTGGATCAAGCTAAAACAAAAGTATGATTGAGGTTGTAATGGTGAACCGAACTAGCAAGTATAACGAGGTTGTAAATCAATAAGGAAAAGCGCTAGGTCATAGGGGCTATCGCAGAGAAGCAAGCAATGATCAATGAAACAATGATAGATGAATTGATTAGGGATATTGGGATATTAAGAACCGTCTAGAACACAGATCACGAATATAAAACCATTCCACTTTCGAGGCTCCGGCTCCTTTGTTAATCTACCTAGTCGCTAAACTTTTGGTATGTCCCTAGGTGATTAAATCAAGCTTTAGAATGAATAGGTTCTGATACAGTTCACTAGATTATAGTAGATCAACTTTCGCAGTCTAAGAAACCTAGCTTGTCAAAGAATATGTCCGGCGAATGATACAGCACTGTCGAGGCTCAAATCAACCTAAGATCGGATTACTAGATGCGCGGTAAAGCAATCAGCATTAGTTAAGTGCACAAGACGAGACAAAGACTCTAATATAATCCCTAGCTAATCATTGAAATCAAAGATCATGCAAGCAACTCATTGAATAGTAACCCTAGCAACCTAACTAGTGGATTACTCAGACATGATCAAAGCAAACACACATAGAGATGAAGAAAACATGATTGCAATAAAACTTAGAGTAGGAAATCGAAATACAAGGGCGGCTCTCTTTCTCAAGAGGCTAAAAATCCATATATATAGTGCTAGGTCTTTCTAGAGGCGGCTTAGGGTTAAGCCGGGCTTGAAAACATAAGTTTGGGCTTCAAAAAGGGCTTCGGGTCGACCGCGGCGTTGGGACGGTCGGTCGGGACGATCGGCCGGACATCGGGTCGTGGCCGAGTCGGAACGGTCGGGCCGGACGGATGCGTGGTCGGCGGGTGAATTTGGCCGATGAAATCTCGGTCGGACGCGGGACGTAGTTTCCCGGCTCGGACGGCATCGGCCGTGGTACGCGGAGAGTTGCGCGGCCGCGAGGCGTTTCCCGGCTCGCGCGTTTGGTCGTGCGCGGTCGTGGCGTGGCTTGGCCGACCGCGGGCATGTTTCCCGGGTCGTGACTTGCGTGATCGGCCGAACGGTTTTGGACTTTGGCCGAGACTTCAGACGGACGGACGAGATTTGGCCGAGCGTGGAACATTCGTTCCTCGGCCAGCCGGACTGCGCGGTTGGGCGCTGATTCTCGATAGAGCCGTCTGGACAGTCTTCACTCTTTTGGTTGTAACTCCTTTTCTACTCATCCAAATTAGGCCATTCCAATTGCGTTGGAAAGTTAACTCAATCAGAGCACGCAGGGAACTGGTCTTGATGAAATCCATTGAGTAGATCTTTTTCTGGGCCCTCTTAAAGTTGGTGCTTGTGCATGGAGCGGCTTGAAGTGCAAATCCTATGGTTTTGCTCCAAAATGCATCATTTCACCTGTTTAGACTCTAGACACTATAAACACAGTAAAACTACCTTTTTAGATAGAAAACCTGCCAAAAACCATTAGAAAACAATGCTAAAACAGTATAAAAAGTGTAAAATAGAGGTATATCAACTCCCCCAGACTTAGATCTTTGCTTGTCCTCAAGCAAACAGAATCTAAATCCGTGAAAGAGGTTTGAAAACGTGGAAACTCCCTTGCTCTTTTGAATATCCTGTGAAAGGTTCCTTTCCTGTATTCCACTAAGAACATAGACAACATAAGGTTAGCTTCACATACACCCTGCAAGTTTAGCGAACAATACCAACCCAACTAGTCTCATCCAGCAATCCAAACTCTCTATTGCTAACCTCTTGCATAAATTTAAAGCGTGAGTTCTTTATCAAGGGACATCGATCAATTGAACTTGTTCTTACCCACTTGATCTTCTCCAAGATTGTCTTTAAGTGCAATGAGTTCTTTTCCTCTCTCTTTCTCACATCAGAACTTTGAAAGGTCAATTTCTCCCTACTTTTCTAGGGTATCATTTTATTTTTTCTATTGACCCTTCTTTCAACCACAGGATAAGTCTTTAGCTTGTTCCTTGTTTGACTAAGGTATTCCATAAGACATGAAGGTACAGACATATGCATTCCTCATGCTTACTTGTTTTCCTTGTGCTCTTTGAGCTTTTTCTCATAAACATTACTTACCATTTGGGATGGGAGAGAGAGGAGAACTCTTTAAAGATTAGACAAATCTTATTGAAAATCAAGCAAGGAACTGTCGACATGTATGCCAACCCCTTGACAAGAGTATTAAGATTGATTAAGGGTGAGGTTAACTCTAGATTGCTTGGTTACCTTAGAAATTTTGCTGAGCTAGCATGTCGATCCACTGTAAGAGCTTCTGTTAGGCTTGTGCCTTTAGCTGGTTTCTGCTCTAGGGTCATGGATTGTTAGCACAACACTTCTCAATTCTCAAAGCAAGTTCATA